AGAGAAAAGTGGTTGTGATGACATGTTGAAATGGGTGGGACAGAAGCGGAAGGAGGTTTTTAAAGAGACAGAGGCCAATTTCAAGGTGTTTAGAAATGGAAATAATGAGAAGACAAGTTTATTTTCTACTTAAACATAAAAACAGCATTTTAATAACACTAAAGGTGACATAGATACTTTATTATGGTATAGAACTTAAATATAAGCCTGAGAAACACATAATATTGCCCCTTTAAATAATGATCACTGTTGTCTGTTTGCCGTTAAAATAGACATTGTAAAAAAAATTATTATTGCTCAAAGCCTGTTTGATTTTCTTAGGTTATCAGGTTTATGTCCTCTGGCTTTGTCAAGAATAAGGTCCTTGTCTAGTGGGAGTGCTTTCAGTTCCAGTGGTCGTGTTCTCTGAAAATTGCACACCTGAGCATTATATAACGGTATGAATGAACAAAACCAAACTCAAATCTTTGTTTTTCACACACTTGAAGTATGGACCACTCATAAATAGCTTCTTTATAATGATCTGGAAAGTGTTTTACAATGTTATCTTCAATAACACATCCATTCAAACACTAATCAAGTGTTTCAAATGGTTGTACTTAATATATAAACACACTTGAACTCCTAATTCACTGAAAGATGATGCTGAGACCCAATAACCCCTAAACATATACACTGCTGTTAAGTGTCTGTATGTGTATTTTTCTGTTTATGCATGTCTTTTTTGGTTACTTTTGTGAAAGTATTTTTTTATTGTGTGTCATGAAGAGTGTTATGTAAGTAAAACAAACACTGTTTTGACATATCCTCAGAATAGTCTTTTCCATATATGGTACATTCCCTTCCAACTGATTCCTTCTTGGTAATTCATGGATTATTTTCACTAATTAAATTATTGCAAATCTTTTTTTTTCCCAAGGTTAATAAGAAAACCATTTTGAAGTCTTTATTCTGTGTTACGCAACCTACATTGCTTTTACATGGCAGTGTTTTCATTTTATTTTCAGCCTATAGCACAGGTTTTCACTTCCTCTAATTTATTGGCCCACCTTCAAACTTGGTCTTTAAAATGAACTCCTTGTAGAATCGTTTGCCATTGCCTGGTTTCATGGCATCGCAGACCTTGGATGCGTTGGAGCAAACTGCCTGCCTCATGTTGTGCAGAGCGTAAGCCATGGCGTAGACCGCATTCACCACAAACATGATCTTGGACTCCTGTTCAAAAGTCCCATCTCGTAAGCTGTGCTCGCTGCAGCTGGGCTCTTGAAGGCTGCAGCTAAATCGGTGTTCCCAGAACTCCTTAAACCATGGGTTCCTTGTGTTGGTGTATGGGTTCAGCTTGGTAAAATAATCTTCGAACTCTCTGATTCGATAGGAGGCCAGCTCAATGGTAAAGGCCCCGTCGGCTGCAGTCTCGCTGCCCCTCACCACACTCTCCTGTGCCCCCCATCCGTCGCTGGCCACCCAGATGAAGCTGACATTCATTCGAGCTGCAGCAACCAGCAGCTCACGGGCGTCCTCGCTGCGGGTGAACAGGATGACCACCTTGGCGTTGGACTTTTGCTGCAGAGAGCGGATCACGTTCTCATAGCTCTGGCGATTCATGGAGCGGCTCACTTTAGCTGAAGTTGCAATGCAGATCTGACGACTTCGGGCCTCCTGCTGGAAGGCATCGATGCCCGTCTCACCGTAGTCACCTTCTGACGCTACTGTTGACACGTAAGTCCAGTTGAAGTAGTGCAGGATCTCGGCCATGGCCTTGGCCTGGTAGAAGTCTGGCGGAACGGTTCGGGCAAAATAGTCATAGCGGGTTTTGTCACTGAGCTTTGCACTGGTGGAGGCATAGCTGATCTGAGGTATTTGGAACAAACGCAGGAGGTTGGCCACCTAAAGAAAAGAAATACGCTGTTAAATATTGCCAGTTATTGATAAAAAGAACTTCTAACTTAAAGACTTTCTTAAGGAGGCTAACAATACAGTTTAAAAAAAATAAGTGAATAAAATGAGTCAAAGAAAATGAAGGGACACACGTTAACTTGAAACAAAGTCAGTGTTGTGTCTATAAAATAATGCCATCTTTCAAAATGCACTGTCACACAAGGAGTTAATTGGCTTAAATTGGAATCAATTTTTGTTGCTGATATGATAATGTGACTACTTTGTACATAATATTTAAAAAATTCAGGCTGGCTCTTTTTTTTTAGCATGATGATGACCAGTTTGTAGAATAATTAGCATGCTTAATCAAAACTAATGGCATAAATAAAAATGGATGAAGTGACTTTGTCTACTTCCATTGCTCCAAACTAAAGTCAAAATGACCAATGCTACATTGTAGGTTTTTATGTTTTTTTTTAAAGAAAGACATAATGTCTCAGCTGCTTCTCACTAATCTGAACTGAAGCCAAAATGATTGTTTTTTGGGTGTTGCCATGTTGCAGTTTTGGAGCCAATCACTGCACACTACAAGGAGCTGTAGTTTATTTAAAAAGTTTCTTTTAGTTATTGCTAGAAGATTCAGTAATAGAAAGCTGATTTTCATGCATCTAATTAAAGTCATTTTAATTTGTGGATGTGGAGGCCAATGGAAAAAGACCAATGCTCAGTTCTGGCCCTCGAGCCACATTTTGTCCTTGTGTGTCCTAGATTGTCTAAAAGCTGAAATGAAAGGCAGAGCTTTCTGTAATCAGGCTTCCCTCTTGTGGATCTGGTTATTAGTTTTGGAAGGTGAAATTGTTTTCGAATGTCTCCTTCTTTGTGTCTCCTTGAGCTTTTTTAAGTTTTTCTACCATTGCAGCTTTTTATTTTGTTTTAAGAATAATAAGTTTTTGAGCTCCTCGTCTGTATTCCTTGGTCAGAAAACGTCCTGCCATTGTGACAATTCATGAAAATCGTGCTTTCATTTGCTTGACTTTTCTACATGTAGTTATTTATCTGATCCAGAGGTGAAGTGAATCTGAAGAGATTTACAGTCTGGTTTGTTTTCTTCAGCTTCAGCTTTATTATGTCAGGGAATATTATCGCCAGCAGCATCAATAAATCCCTTCATCAGCTAACAGCAGAAACAACAACTCACATTTAAGAATTTTATCAGTTTATATTACCACTTTATTTTAAAATCTTAAATCATTCACGACTGATAACATGTTGAAACGTTTTCTACTCAGACAAATATATGGATTTTTGGTCTCTTCCGGTGCTGCAGCCAACACGGCTGAATGATAATCTTTTACTAAAATGTGCAATGTTGAACACTAACCTGCTGAAACGATGGTCCAAACACAAAATCATGGCAATTATTTCCTCGCAGCATTCTAAAGTCATGCCAGGAAGGCAGTAAAAACTTGTCAATCTGCAGGATACCTCCAGAGACACGGTGGTGATTAGTGAATACCCATGGGCTTCATGGGCATGAACCCACCCCCAGCATCATTGAATGCCTGGAGGCTTTTCAAACAATGACATCCCCGTGGATCTAATTGAAAGCCCTTCTCCACTCACACTAAATGCCATTTTGTCTTCCACCTCACTCATCCAAAAGAGCTTCAACAGACCCAATGTTCAATCACAAATCATATTATTTTCTGTTTACACCAGTTTTCTGCAAGAGGTCCATTCACCAATAGTTGTGCTCTGCCAATCCATGTTAAACAAGACTTTTTTTATTTAGCTGTGTTATAACGAAACACTTCTTTAAACAGTATCAGCTTGTTAAATCAGTTTTTTAAGAATAATAAAGTTAGGAAGGTGTCGTTTTCCAATAAAAAGCGCTGTTATACTTGATCATATTTTCAGATGATTAAAAAGCAGCCACCTGCATGTTGTTGATTTATTATAAGTGCATGTAAAACTGCCATTATTGTCCAACAAAGGTTGATTCTGTAATAATAACAACATAAATAAAATACCCTCAAAGCTGGAATTATGATGGGTAAACATGTAAATCATATACTAGCTGTAATGTTAAAAATAAATTCTACAAAACTGCAGAAAATAAAAATAATGGAAAAATATGTTTGTTGTTTATTTGAAAACATTTTCCCAAATGAAGCTTCAAACTTTTGTTTTTTTTTTTCTGCTTCCATTATAAAAACTCTCATTTTGCAAAGAACGATTGTGATAATGGCACTTAATTCAGCCATAAAGTAAAGATAAAAAGTTGGTCTGATGATGACATCAAAAGGAAAGTTTAAATGTAATGGTGACCTCATAATTTAAATCTTTTTATTTTATTCATAAGCCATTAGTTTAATGCTCTGAAATCTCTCTTCATCTTTATAACCATGCAAATTATTGACCAGATTCCTCAGTGAAAGGGAACATTTTAGTTTTGTTGCAAAAATCAAAACTTGTGCAAAAATATCCAAACATCACAAACTTGCAAAAATAAAAATAAAGAAAAAGAGAGAAAGACAGAGGAAGAGGTCAACAAACTGTAGGACCTGACAAACGGCACAATCTATAAACCACACCCATCTTATAATCATCAAAACACTTCATTTTACTCTGCTGCCGGAAAACAATGTGACTTAAAACCTCTGATAAATCTTAAATTTAAATCACTCTGCTATTACAAAATAAGCTAGATGAAACAATGTATGAATTATTAACTAAAAACTTTAAAATTACACTTTTAACCTTTATAAACTTCAAGGCTCCAACAATTATCATTATTTAAATAAATAAATATATTTTATTTGTTAAAAGATTAGATAAACTGCTTTAGTCATTTTAACTAAAACAAGCAATATAGAATTTTTAATGAGTGGTATTTGATTATTACTTCAACAAATTTTAACTAGCAGAAAAATTAGTTTTTAAAATCCTGTGTGTGCACACTGTTAGTCTGGATCAGCTCTGAGGTGTCTGACATCTTAAAGACAACATAAAAATCTACAATGTTAAAAATATCAGTGATAAATTAATGATATGTTCAATATATGTCTGTGATTTTCACTCTTTGTTAACAGGTTTGTGAACTGCATGCGCACACAGTCCTGTTTATTGTTCAGATTTGAAGGATTTGTACCAGACAGCAGAATATTTCAGATTCATTCCTTAGACATGTTTGTTGCACCCACAGGTGATGTCCTGGTCAATAAAAAGTTGTTTTCATGTCATCATGTGGGCTGAAGTGATGTCTGAAAATAAATAATTCTGGAAATCATGAAACTGTCTGCAAAATCTCATCACTCTGATGTCTGTGAAGAAATGAGTCCACCCATGAAAAACTTTATAACTTTACTGTCAACTTTTTACTGTAGATGACTGACTTTTCTTTCATGTTCCCGGTATCTTCTTTTAATTGTCCTGACAGTCTTCAAAGTTCATTTGTAGCTCTTTTAGAAGAAAACATGTCAAAGATCTGCATCCTTTATAATCATCTTCACTGTATTCAGTCTATGAAAGCATTTGAGATACACTCAAAAACATGTTTAATCATTGTTGAAAAAGTGAGAAAATAAAACTAATGTTCATTTATGGTTGGTCTTCAACATATTTCAGGATTTTATATTTTTCCTTGCAGAATCTGATTCATTTTGTTTTGGTATACAGGTCAAACAAAAGTTCCTTGGTAAACTTGTAAAACGAAAATGTGTCTTTTGTCTGAAAAAGTCTGTTGTGTTAATCTGTTGTGTAATTTAACCAACAGGCTGAGCCTTTATTACTCAGCTTGGCAACTTAAGTTTTATTTACTATTAACTTTAATAAGTCATTTAAGTTAAGGGAAAAAAAACAACAACATGTTAGCTCAACCCATATGTTATTTTGAAACAAGACAATTCATTAACTCTGATAAAAGCAATTATGTAGAAAAAAATTAAATTGATTTCTTATATTTATTTAACAGTTTAAATGTTTTATTTATATTTGACCAATGAGACAAACGTATTTTATAGACTTAAACTCAATATGTTTTACTATATTTTAAGTCTTTGTAATTGTGTGTTTTGTTTATTTTCTGTGTATAAATTGAAGCCAATGTTAAGATGTACGCATTAACCCAAAAGACACATTTGATTTATAATAAATAGAAGCCAAAGACAAGGTTTGTTTTCAAAAATGATTGAAAATACCCATAAGCTACCGTGCTGTGTCTCAAACACAATGGCACAAACCACATACCCGAGTTCTCAAGGGAGGGAAATAATATGATATATTTAGTCAAGCATACCAGTAAGTCCAGGCTCTGTTTTTTTTTTTTTTTTCCTGTGAAAATCTAGGAGCTTTCATTAAATCACCCACAAAGAGATCTGACCTCTCTTCAATGCACGGGGAATTCTAATAACATTCACTGATTGAATTTATGTTGCCTGGGAAATAATACAAAAATAAAAATAAAAACCTTTAACTTACCAGCAGCTCTCAGTTTGTCAGTCAGTTACACTTGCATAGTAACAAGGTAGTTTCCTCTTGCAGAGGGTTTTCAGCAAGGCAGGTAGTCTGCTTAGAGAGATTCTTGAGGAAACCTGACAGCACCTTTCAGGACGGCACTGAAGTGTGTGACAGTAGCCGTCTGTTTGCCCTCACTATTTCCCAGTTACCGTCTAACAACACCCGTATGGCTTCAGGTAAAAACGGATCCCTCCCCCCTCCCCGCCAGAACTTTCAACTTTCTTTTCATAATTAAGCCGCACCTCTCTGTTACAGTAACAATTTTCAGAGAGCGTTTTCAATCAACGTGAACAAACATACAGGCATTGATGTCTGTGTTTGAAAATACATGTTATATAACTAAAATAATGACCTCATTAAAAACGGCTAGTTCTGCTTAATATGTCTTTGTAATTATGGCAACATGCTACAAAGTTAAAGTCTTGTTTGGTTCTATTATTTAGGAGGTTCATTAGTGAAACAGAGACTGCTTTCAACAAAAAGAAATATGT